CGATTCTTCACAATGGTGCCTTTTCAAAGCCCATTTTTTCTTCAGGAGGAGAAGGAACAGAGCGAATGTTGACTCTACAAATGCTAAAATACGCCAGGAGAAATGAAAAACAAAAGATAGTCAAAATGGGGGAGAGAATGGGGAGACTATAGGGTGCATAAAAGGTATGTTATTGGAGATGTGTCATTGATTGAATTTATCGGAAGATATCCATACTGCCAATATCAGATAATCAGCAGGAAGGGGTATTATGGGGTGGGGGAACGCTTATTTGAATGGGGTGCTTTTAAATCGCTCAAATACTTGGTTTAAAAACTTAGCCTATAAACAAATGAATGACTCGCAAAGATCCCAAAGTGAGGTATAATTATTAGTTCTGGTGGAATAGGTAGAAGTTCCCCAGTGTATAGGTGCTATTCCTACACAATGCAACATTTGTTACGAGTTTGATTAAGTTCTCTTTGTTTCCTTTTAACGAATCCTAACTCGTTGAAAGTTCTTTTCACAACAGCATGCTGCTCGCCATACAAGGATTTATAAATGTTCAGAGCCTTTTCATAGCATTCTTCAGAAACAGGGTACTGTTTAACGCTACAATAGATATTGCCAAGGTCGAAATAACTGTTCGCTACGGAGGAATGCTCCTCGTCGTAAATAATTTTTTTAATGACAAGAGACTTCTCAAAGTATTCTTTAGCCTGATTGTACTGACCCAGCTTCCTGTAAACAAGTCCCAGGTTGTTGTAACTTTGCGCTACGTCACCATGGTGTTCACAATAAATCTCTTTTCTAATGGCAAGAGACTTCTCATGGTATTTTTTAGCCTGATTGTACTGACCAAGGTCACTGTAAACAGTTCCCAGGTTGTTGTAACTTGTCGCTACGTCACCATGGTGTTCACCATAAATCTCTTTTCTAATGGCAAGAGACTTCTCATGGTATTCTTTAGCCTGATTGTACTGACCAAGGTCACTGTAAACAAGTCCCAGGTTGTTGTAACTCACCGCTACGTCACCATGGTGTTCACCATAAATCTCTTTTTTAATGGCAAGAGACTTCTCATGGTATTCTTTAGCCTGATTGTACTGACCAAGGTCACTGTAAACAGCTCCCAGGTTGTTGTAACTTGTCGCTACGTCACCATGGTGTTCACCATAAATCTCTTTTTTAATGGCAAGAGACTTCTCATGGTATTCTTTAGCCCGATTGTACTGACCAAGGGCACGGTAAACATTTCCCAGGTTGTTGTAACTTGCCACTACATCACCATGGTGTTCACCATAAATCTCTTTTTTAATGGCAAGAGACTTCTCATGGTATTCTTTAGCCTGATTGTACTGACCAAGGGCACTGTAAACAAGTCCCAGATTGTTGTAACTTGTCGCTACGTCACCATGGTGTTCACCGTAAATCTCTTTTGTAATGGCAAGAGACTTCTCATGGTATTCTTTAGCCTGATTGTACTGACCAAGGTCACTGTAAACAGCTCCCAGGTTGTTGTAACTTGTCGCTACGTCACCATGGTGTTCACCATAAATCTCTTTTTTAATGGCAAGAGACTTCTCATGGTATTCTTTAGCCTGATTGTACTGACCAAGGGCACGGTAAACATTTCCCAGGTTGTTGTAACTTGCCGCTACATCACCATGGTGTTCACCATAAATCTCTTTTTTAATGGCAAGAGACTTCTCATGGTATTCTTTAGCCTGATTGTACTGACCAAGGGCACTGTAAACAAGTCCCAGATTGTTGTAACTTGTCGCTACGTCACCATGGTGTTCACCATAAATCTCTTTTCTAATGGCAAGAGACTTCGCATGGTATTCTTTAGCCTGATTGTATTGACCAAGGTCACTGTAAACAGTTCCCAGGTCGTTGTAACTGCGCGCTACGTCACCATGGTGTTCACCATAAATCTCTTTTGTAATGGCAAGAGACTTCTCATGGTATTCTTTAGCCTGATTGTACTGACCACGGGCACGGCAAACAAGTCCCAGGCTGTTGTAACTTGCCGCTACGTCACCATGGTGTTCACCATAAATCTCTTTTCTAATGGCAAGAGACTTCTCATGGTATTCTTTAGCCTGATTGTACTGACCAAGGGCATTGTAAACATTTCCTAGGTTGTTGTAACTTGTCGCTACGTCACCATGGTGTTCACCCTAAATCTCTTTTTTAATGGCAAGAGACTTCTCATGGTATTCTTTAGCCTGATTGTACTGACCAAGGGCACTGTAAACATTTCCCAGGTTGTTGTAACTTGCCGCTACGTCACCATGGTGTTCACCATAAATCTCTTTTTTAATGGCAAGAGACTTCTCATGGTATTCTTTAGCCTGATTGTACTGACCAAGGGCACTGTAAACATTTCCCAGGTTGTTGTAACTTGCCGCTACGTCACCATGGTGTTCACCATAAATCTCTTTTCTAATGGCAAGAGACTTCTCATGGTATTCTTTAGCCTGATTGTACTGACCAAGGGCACGGTAAACAGTTCCCAGGTTGTTGTAACTTGCCGCTACGTCACCATGGTGTTCACCATAAATCTCTTTTGTAATGGCAAGAGACTTCTCATGGTATTCTTTAGCCTGATTGTACTGATCAAGGTCACTGTAAACAAGTCCCAGGTTGTTGTAACTTCTCGCTACGTCACCATGGTGTTCACCATAAATCTCTTTTTTAATGGCAAGAGACTTCTCAAAGTATTCTTTAGCCTGATTATTCTGGTCAAGATCCTTGGAAACGAGGCCTTGCACTCGAAAATAATTCGCCTTTTCCAGCTTATCTCTTAGCTCGTCATCAAGATAATTTACAAAATCAGAGCATAATGTGCAAAATAGGTGAGCGTCAGATATATTACTCAACTCGCAACTGACTTCAGCAGTTGAGGAAAGCCAGGATACTAAATTTCTAGGAGCTATGGAGGGGATAATTCATTATTTGTTAAATCTGTGTCGGTAAAATTGGTCTTGAAATGTTGATATAACCCTTTACAATGACTGGTAGTTAGTCTTAACTTTATGCACGTACTCTCACTTGCAAGTAGTAGCTTCTTGTTGTCTTCAATTAATGAACTGAAAGTCTGAACAGCGACAGAAAAGTACTCAGCTTTATGTGTGCGGTTCAGGACTGATGTTACAGTGGACTTAACCACTTGATGAACAACGTTATGTACTCTTAAGTAAGTGGGTGTGCCGTCAACATCATACAAGCAAGTTATCATGGTGGATTCCAGAATTTTAGCTCTGATAAATTCTTCTTTTTGCTGTTTGTTACGAAATTTAACAAAGTCAACTGCAGCCTCAATAGGTAGAGAATCAGATGTGCACATCGAAAACAAACAAAATACTTCACAAAGAACTTTGTCGCTTTCCAAAGCTCGAGTTATTGCTATTCTGATTGCAGTCGCCGTTGTTTTGGGATATGCGCGGTTTTTTTTCGCAAAAAGGTCTTCTCTGGCTTCGCGTTCCTCGCTATTCAATGTTTCCAGGTATTTTGTCCAACCGTAATTTGGGGTACCACAGGTGACAATTGTTTGCACGTAGACTGCAGCAGCTGCCAAGGCAAGTGGCTGATACTCGAGAACTTCAGCAACCTCCTCAGCTTGTTGTTGATTCGAAATTTGGGACACTTCTCTTAAAAGGTCTACTGCATCATCTGGGTGCATTCCTTCACTGAGAGACTCATGATGAGTCTGAGGGGAATTGAAAGGTATTGACTGAGTATCTTGAGTAGTTACTATCATTTGACCATGACCCCACTCTTCACTGGCTGTTGGAGGCAGATAACTACGAACTTCGGATAGGTCAACAACATTATCCACAATAATCAGCCAGGCAGAAAATTGTTTCACCTTTGGAGAAATAAAACGCATCAAATGTTGAATTTTTTCACTTGAGTCGACCTTCGTGGAGGTTGCTAGGTTGGTCAGAGTGTATTCCGTAACTCCCAGTTGTTTAGCTAGATTGAAATAGGAGTCGGCAAGTGAGTCAAGGGTTTCTGCATTCAGAGTTGAAACAAAAGTTAGACCTTCATCTTCTCGTACACTTTTGTCATAGACTTCTTGTCCAACTTGACGAGCGATTTGACTTTTGCCACAGCCCGGAATTCCTGATAAATAAATGGTGCTGATGGCCCCTTTGCTTTCATTATAAAGTTCCTCCAGCTTGTTCTTGATTCTTGTGACATCGTAGGAACGTCTGATGATTTGGTGCGATGGCTTGAATGTAAGACTACAGAAAGACTCGACTTTGGAACTGATTTCCTGAGTGAGTGTTTCTACTTCTTCCTGCTTGCTGTGTAATTCGGAGTTTAGATTTTTGACTTCTTCATCTTTTGCTTCTAAATCAGCTTTAAGTCCAGCAGCCTGTATCTTTAAGCCATTTACTTCTGCTGTCGGAAAGCTGCTCTGGTTTTTGACATCGTCGATTTCATCAGTTGAGAGTTTCAAAGATGAAAATGCAGCTATCACTCTTGCTACATAATTTATGAATTCAGCATCAGTAAGTTCAACCTCGTTTATGTGAGCGATGTCGTTTCGCACCTGTCGAAGATCGTCGACCTCTTTTCTGATTGTCGAACTCAGGGTGGTGCCAATGCTATCCGAGAACAATATGGCAAAAAGTAGACAACTGCAGTCCCACTCTGCTGTGTTTCCCTTTTGTATTGTCGCAAAATATCGAGCATTCTTTTTCCGACTTTTGCCCGTTTGGTTGTTGTAGAAATCGCTGCCATTTTGCGGAATGTCTTTCCATTCCCCAAATGAGGTTGTCATGTAAAGGAAATTCCACTCTTGTTTGAAGACTTTCCGAAGTCCTTCGGGCACCAAGTTGAAGGCGATATAACATATTCTGAAATAGTTTAACTGTTGTGGAGTATACTCCATTTTGAATTGGGATCTAGTAAAAAGATTAGTGAAAGAATAAAATCAGACTAAAAATCGCTACACACTCCAAAGAAATCCTACATCGAAGCCCCCCCTTACTCATTGCCGAATTTTTGGCCTTCGTCATGCATGAAACAAAAGGGTGGAGCAAAACATATAGGCAACAAAAATTTACTTACGCTTTTTTAGCCTTTCGCTCCGTGAAATTGTTGAAATTTGTTGGCCTGTTAACCCGTGGGAAAGAATAGTGAAAACCTGAAAAGAAAACGCGCTTAGTGTTAAGTTTACCTTGCCTTCGCCCAGTCCCCCGATGTTAATGCCCATTAATCTTATTCATTTGTAGCTTGGGTGGTACCTGTCACATTCCGGATACACTGCGAGCAGAGGCTAGATTTTCGCGATATGAGGTGGCGTACGAAAAGTAGCCACTGCCGACAACTGTTCAAATCCGTCCAGAAACCTGGTCGAATAAATTTTTAAAAAAAAACAGGTTTTAACCTGTTCTCGACCGGCTTGGAACATTTGTGAGTCTTGTGTCAGCGAATGAACGCTGACCATTATTGCGCCATCATGCATCGCGTCGTATACTGATGAGACTGTATCCCTGTTTATGTAAAGAGCGTTGTCAACTTGAATATCGTGAATCCTCCAGTATGCTCCACGGTTTGAGGGGGCTTGAATAGAGGCGGGGGGGGCTTATTTAAGAGAGGGAGCTTATTTCATTTAGCAAAGATGACGGTATCAGTTCTCCATAAAGAACTAGAATACAAAGTGGAAAAGCTAAAGTACAAAAAGTTGGAGATCATTTAGCCGAGGATCAAAAACAAAACCGAACTTCCAGTTGGTGAATAAACTATCCTGGATCACTCCTCACGACGGTTTCCAGTCGTGAATGATTAATACAGTCTATCATTTATTAGTGAAGAATAATCAGGGGAGGGGAGGGGGGGGCTTAAAAGAGAGGCCAGGCTTATTAACGTTTTCCCTTGACAAGGGGGAGCTTATTTGAGAAGGGCGGGGGGCTTAATAGAGGATTTATGGTAAGATCTGTAATTGAAAGCTGTCGGAATACTAAACAAGCTGCTGCCGGTGCTTCTTACTTGACAGCGTAAATCGTTTATTTATCAGATGGTAGTTCTTGTCTGCTAAGAAAAGAACTTAAAATGGTTTACTGCGATGATTTTTGTTGTCTCCTCTCAATGCAAAGTTAAATGCACTGTTTTAGTGCACAGATGGAAACCGAAAGTTCAAAAGAATCATTGATCAGTTTCTTTTAGTGGAGGAAGAAGAAAAGAAGCTTTTAGTGGAGAAATTTGCCCTCAAGGACTTCAACCTTGTTGGTTTCTTCGCGGTGGAGAGCTTTTCCTGTTCTGGAAAGAAACCTCAGCTGAAACCAAAACAGCAAAGTTTTAAAAGAATTTTCAGGCACATTTAAAAAATTTATGTATTTATAGTTGTTTGATAGATGTTTTATACATTTGACTTCCAATTCCGTGTAAAATGCGCCGGCCGCTCTTACTTTCGTGAAATGATCCACGATCCAGCAAGTGTTACGTGAACTGTTTCTTAAAGATAAATTATGGGTTTTGTTTCGTCTTTGTTCGTTCATAAAATTAGTTTAAAACACAGTCGTGAGACTGCAGCATCCAATTTATTTCAAGCATCACTTCTGAGTAGGGTGGTCGGCGAATTTCATTTTTCATTTTGAGCACAATTATGGTTTACTAGTTGTTATAGATTGAAAACAGACAAAATAAGAATATTTTTTGAAAGCTTATTTGCACTCTAATTTAACTGCTTAAATGGTCATTCAACTAACGTTTTTTTGAAATGAAAAGTTCGTAAAAACGCGCCGGTGGAATAGTCGTTTATGGGTTATGCTCCGTGAAACGTCTTAGAACATTTTCAGGCTTTTGATACATAGCATTCGTCTGTAGCAATTTTTACAAAGGCGTCAGGACGGTTAAACTCTGCCTTGAAAAAACTTCTTTAACATGAGTGTACTGCTACTATAATAAGCAGAAAAACTGCTTTAGTTAAACGTGCTCCCCACAAAGCAGAAAGGACTTTTTTAATACTGCAAATGGGAGCACGAAGAAATTAGTGGCGTTTATATCTGCGACCAAAGTCCTGAAATATTTTTAAACCAGTCAGGGAGAAAAGCAGGAAACCAAAACAAAGCTTGAGCAGCTAGGTTGGTTGTTCGCAAGTTTGATTCCCGCAAAACTCTCGCAAAATTGACGAAAGACGTGACGAATTTCAGTTCCTTGCGAATCGCGTGACGAATTTTTGCCTATGCACATTAGAAAACTGAACGGTTGCCAGCAGAGGCTATTTTTCGCACTCCAAATCATACAGCTAAAATGTAGTCACACTCCGGAAATAGCCGGGCGCACACATTTGCCTCGCACTCAGAAGTTGTTTTGGCTCTTCACGGAAACACTATTAAAAACTTCAGTTGAGTAGAGTCTACGAAGGAAGACGGACACTTCAGTAACTGAAGAAATTGAAATAAGGGGAGTCAATTTAATTAGTAGGAAAAGAAGTGGTAGACCTGTATTTATGTTCATGTGGACGGATGTGTTTTTGGTGATTAGGCTTAGGCACTGACTTTG